GGGAAAACCCCACATGGCTAGCACAAAAGATGGAGGGAAGGGACTTCAGACATAAGAGGGGTAATGTGGAGCATGGAGTTATGAATCCTGCTGTTTCCAATGTGTGCTCCAGTTGGTGACTGCCAAAAGTGCCCCCATAGACCCATCTCGTATCCAATCCCAATATAAATATGATTAAATAAGTATATTATATATGTATATATACATACTTTGGATCAGTTGGAGGTGCAATATAGCACGTAAATTCGTATAGTTCCAGAACGTACGGCAAATAAGTCGCGTGCTCACGTCACCCAGGGGTGCCCAAACACCACAGTTGACGGGCATGCTGACCGCTCAGCTGAGGTTGAGGTGGTCGATTTCGGAGGTGGTCGGGTCGGTTGGGTCTGTCCTATGACCTGTAACGGTCAGTAAACAATTATCATCATGCTTGAACAAGGCCCGCAACCTAACCATCATCATCCACTGTTACAGGTAATAGGATAGATCCAAAATGTAGGTATAAAGACCATCATACAATGGGGGGGTGTCCCATTTCTTGTAACAGTCGGGTTCAACAAGAACATCCCTATTTTCGTGGAAGAGGACGAACTAACAATCATCATCCACTGTTACTGGGAATGGGATATCATGAGGAGATGGTTGGGGTGGGATTGGAGGGTCGGTCTAACCATCTTCTGAGGAGATGGTTGGAACCCTAGAAAATTACCCACCAATGGAGTATTTGGGACGGTTCGTTTCACTGTTTCCACTGTGCTGCCGTCCAGCCTGTCCAGCCTTGCAGGGACCCAAGAGCAGGGGCCCCAGTGTTTGGGATTTGGGAATGGAGTGGGTGATTGGTTGGCCCTTGCAACGAATAGACCCATACCTAAGGGGTAAGACATGAAATGCTAAGCTCGGCCCCTGCTTTGTAGAGAGGGCCTGATGGTTGGCTACTCCAATTCAATTTTATGTGCTGTTTGCCCGGGTTTCACTCCGAACTCTGGGGATGAGTTTCTTTGAAGGTCCTTGTACTTTGTTAGGACCATCAGTGGCTTTGCTCTTCCGGGCTTTGGCAGTTGGTCGTGGAGCGCATGTTAGTTGAAAAATATGTAGATGCTGCGATGGGAGTAGAGACCACCCAGCTACTATCCATATACAGTACTCAAGTCTTTTGAAGCCCCTCTTGCAGACCGCTGCTCTGCTGTGGTGAGCAGAATCTGACGAAACAGCTGGATGATTATGCATGGTCGATTTAAGGGGTCAATAGATAGGTTTGGGCATATTGTATGTCTAGGCAAATAGATAATTATTGGAATTTGTAGAGGAATCTGAAAGGCACTTATTAAAGCCTTGCGGATGGCCTGGCCGTAGCACTTGCAGCGTCATCTCAGGATCCGAGGACCGGGTCAGATCGATTTTAAGAGGCCTTTGCCGGGCACATCACTGCCTCGAACCGGATTGACTATTGACTGAGACCAAGTGACATGGCTTCCAAAACCGGGGTCACTCAGGTTCTAGGATGTTCTAGGTGGACTATATGGACTGGATTACTTACTGCGTTGATCATTTCAGGTACACTTGTGGCTTGAAATCCCTGAAGAAAAGACCTTGAAATCCCTGAGGAAAGAACCATCACACTGCCCAGATTGATCGACTTTGTCAGGGAGTGGCATGCCGGATGAACTCGAGGCTGGAGCTGTCGGAAGGAGGTGTGACCAGGTGGGATGCCCTCCCTTGTTCCACTCAGTACGTGATCGTGCTGAGGGGGGAAGCTTTCTGAGGGTTGCTAAAGGGTATCCAGTTCTGCCCTGCAATCAGAAAACGGTTTGGAAGTTCCCCTGCTTTCCACTTGCTAGGCATTGGAATCCATAGTGGAATCCAATAGAATCGCTTGAAAAATCTGTGGAATCTGCGAAAACGGGTGGTGTCTACCATATGTTCACTCAACCATTAAAAAGTAACGTTATCATCTCACATAAACAAAATTCACTGAATCACTATATCCCTGATCACATATATATATATATATTTCACTGAACCTCTACAAGTCACTGATATCACATGATATCACTCCGAATAAAGACACCCCCTATCCTGAATGATCAGGGAGATCGTTTCTGCCTTCGGCCTGGAGCCCCGCGGAGCCCGGCCCCATGGAGCGAGGTGAACCAACGGGCTTCGACCATTGCTTTGGACTGGAGCTCGTGACTGGGTCATGGACGGGTGGTGGGGTGGATGATATACCGTCCTGGACGGAGTGTTTTATTGTGTGTGTTTTTTTTTGGGGGGTCCATCTATCGGTCAATGTAATGTGTGGGTTGTAAAGCTTTTGTCAACATCAGATTTATCGCTGTCGTTCCCTCCACGATGAGCTAAGACGTAGGCCCAATTTGGGCAAGCTGTGCCCCAAAGTATGCCGCAGACCATGTTCGACCAGGGAGGCTGACCTTAAGTGGTCCAGAAACTGTCACACCCCATTTCGACCTCATGGCAGTGGAGAATTCACAGGGCTTCCTATTTTTGGAATGTTCCAATCTTGCATTGTGTCGGCAAAAACTTTGTTTGGATGTGTGCTTATTGTGTTGTTATTTTCTGTGTATGCTGATCCATTATAGGCGTTATGATTCTTAAACATCGTATAAATATGAGAAGGCTAAGTATTTTGGGGGGAGGACATGGGAATTCGTCGTGATCATGCACATCAATGGGAGAAACTAAACCAACCTGTGCGCCAATGTCATAGGTGTCGGCCATCATGGAAACATTGGGCACGGGGGCAGTGAGTATGGTTCCACCCTGGCCAAGTTTGACCAGGCAAGGGACCCCCCACCAGACAGAGGAACCGAAAGAGAGAGCTTTGAGTCAGAGCGCGTCCACAAAGAAGGGCACGCCCAGGCCGCGGCTGGGAGGTACGCCTTGGTCTATGAAATCCAACACCATTGCCAGTCAAGTTTCGGCTATCAAGGGTACCTGGCTTCATCAAGATCAGCAGACTGCCCTCCGGGAAGGCCAACATGCGTTCCTACCGCCATGGGGCTCACCGCAGTGCCACCTTGATGCTGATGATGGCCTTGAGAAGCGACAGTTGCTGCCCGACAGTGACGACCTTTCGCGACAGAGTGGATTTTGAGTCAACGCCTCCCCAGTCGATGGCGTGTGTCAAGCCCAGTTCTTTCCTTCAAGCCTGCACCCAGCTGGCTTTGAATCCATGGTTCTTGACTAAAGACAATGAGCTTGTCAGCCCCCTCAACTTCAGGCACAAGGCCCTCGAGGCTGATGTTGAAACTGTGAACTCTGTCCCGCCAGCCCTCAACCTTCCCTCCGCCAGGTCCGCCCTCGGCAACCCCATGCCACCTTCTCCATCATTTTCCATGTTCTTTCCCCTTTGGCGCGCTACATTTCCCACCTTCAGTGTTGTTTTAGTCATGCAATCATGCTCAACGGTGTCAGGACAGGTGCCAGGAATGACTTCAATTTGCTTTCCCCTTTCCTTGTTTATCCTTTTCCCAACTTCCCTTTTCCCTTCCCACACTCTTTGCCGCCTTTGACCCTACTAGTACCACACTGACCTTGGAGCTTTCCCCCTTCACCACATTTGATTTGACATGTTAGCATTGCCAGAAATTGCAGGCCACTGGCCACTTGCGCATTGCAGCAGGCCATGCAGTTCTGTTGCCTTGCCTCTACCACTGCCGGACCCCACCTCTCCAGGTCGGTCATCTGACGGACCCGATCGGATCTGAGGCCCTTTGAACTGGATTTAGGGCTCATGGACCTCGCCAAGCAGAAGCGCTACATCGCCCGAGTGCAGGACCCGTTCCTTGGCGGAGGGGACGGGTGGACTGGCAGACGGGACATGTGTGGGCTTGGCGGGTTCGACTTGATTCAGGTCCATCAACACATCACAGGGTGGGCTTGGACTCCAGATCTATCTCAATCTCCCATCCCACCTTCTCAGAATTTGTTTTGGATAATGATAATAATGCTAATACCAATGCTACTTCATACTACCATACGTCACCAAATCTTCCAGTCGCTCCGCAGTGATAAGAAGTTGGACTTTGCAGGTGTGTGGAACGAGGAGTTGGTGTCTCCACTGAGAACACGCCGGCCTGACAGAGTCGGCTTCATAGGCCCCCTAATCGGCACGACTAGAGGGACTAGAGGAGATGAAACTAGGACCTGACTCAACCAATGTGGGCGAAGATTGGTCGAGGCACCATGGCATGATTGCATGTTGTCGATCTGACCACTTGGAACGGTTCAACCTCAACCTGGTTCCTTTCAACAGATGCGGACAGAGAGACCAAACAATACATCAGCGACCTGCATCGACAGTGTATTTGCTCTGAAAGCTAAGGAATCATAAGCCTGCTCAACCCACTTTCCTCCATTTGAGGGTGAGTTTGGAGCTGCAATTCTTCACTAAAGCCGCAGAATTTGCCATGGTATCAGAAGGGGTTGTGCTGGGTGATGGCTGAACTATTCATGTTTAAGGCAGCCAGGCTCAGCCAGGGTACGCAAATGTACTTTCACGGAGTTTCAGGGTGAGACACCTTGGATTTGGATGTTCGCATTTCCTCGCGTTGAATCCAAGTCGAGCTTGTAAGTACTTTGTTTGAGGAGGTTTGCAGTAGCCAAATAGATATACCATAAGACACAACAAGTTTCTGCAACATAACATTAATGTTGGGATCACCTACACCCAGGTTTCTAAAGACACCCACCATCAACGTGGCAAGACTAGATAGTCTCACACTGCAGCTGGAGGGCTCAACATGCGGCCGAAGAGCGATCTAGTAAGGCTTTTCTCAGTGAAGCTGTGGCTGTTGACAGCCATTTTCACCTCAACTCAGTTTTTTGGAGCTCATCAACCCTCATCCGCCTTGCATCGACTTCTTGTCGGCGCATGTTTGGGGCCCTGGGCGCTTTGCAGACGTCGAGGCCGTCGAACGCACATTCGCATGTACGGAAGGAGGAGTGTCGATGAAGAGACCGCTTGGAACGCACATCGCCGAATGCAACTTGAGGAGGACATCTTACGAGATTTTGGAGCCGCAGCTGGTGGCAGAGAGGCTACTGGTAGTGTTTCCAGCCAAAGACAGCGAGCTAGTAGGATTGCTGAACACATCATTGAGCAGTCAGAGATTCCAGCAGCAAGTTACTTCTTCCAAGGCTCTTCGTCAAGAAGCACCTTCCTGACAGTTTCCCACTCTCATCCTTCTGACTTGGATGTTGTGTTGTTGTGCGATCGCCAGTGGTTGCGTGCCAAAGGGGCTGAATCTTTTGCAGGCCTGACCCAAGTGCTGTATGAATACGTGGTTTCCCACATCCACACCGATGACCTGCATTACATGGGTCTTATTCTGGAGAAAGGTGACAACAAGTTTACCTTTACAGAGGGACGATGTGGTGTCGAGCTCAAGCTATCAGTTGAAGAAGGTGGCTGGTGCCAGGATGAATGCATGGATTTCGTGCTGGCTTACAATGCCACTGATGCAGACGGCGCACTTGAACCTGGAGCCATTCTGGTTTTTGACCGCGTGCTGAATCGCTGGAGGAAGAACAATCCAGATCAGCTGGCAATACTGACTCAAGAGGCGGAGACCAGACAGATGTACTACAGCTTCTCAGAAATCTACAGTGGATTGAGGGGTTCGATGGCACTGGCACCCCAAGATGTCTTTGACAACTAGGGGTCCATATAAACCACCCAACTTGGGGATTGTGCCATCTACTCTCGACCCACTATAAAACAACCGCCTTTTGACATGTCGAACGCCCATGACCAACCAATGGTAGGATGTAGAAGGATACCACCCCACAGAAACGGGATGCGTGCTTGTGAGGTTTCTCAGCCTGCTTCGCTGAGGCTTAGTGGTGCGCATGCTGAAGGAGTGGAACGAATATTGTCCTCCTATTCGCAAGCATGGCACAGTCCCTGGAGCCGTGAAACATGTGAAGATGCTGCTTGTCGAGTTGCCCGAGGAATTTGGAGGCGGCATGGAGAGGATTGTTCTGGATGAAGCAAATGATTCATGGGTTTGTCGATAAAGTCATTTCTGCAGATTGTCCCATTATGTCCCATTCATGGGTTTGTCAATAAAGTCATCTTTGCAGATTGTCCCATCCAATTTGGTGAATAATTGAGCTACCCCCTGCTGGCATGCTGATAACATGATTCCTGAAGTGGTTTTAGGATTGAAAACAAAGCAAAGGGATAATGCTCCCCCCTGAGCAAGTGTGAAGACAACATGCAACTCAACACCCCCGTGATCAAACCCAAGGAATCGAAAGTGGCAGAAGAAAAACTGAAACATCCCATGACGGGCCTTCACATTGAGATGGCGCTGTGCTTGCAGCACGAGGGCTTGCGAGACACTTTCTGGGCCAAGCACATGGCATCCGGGTGCTCAGATCCACGAACCGAAGAGTTGCCTGGCAGTTTTGGGATCCATTCCTGTTCCTGGAAACCAAAAACGCCCAAGCTGTTTGTCAGTCAAACAGTGTGTATGGTCCATGGTGTTCAAGATTCTTTAGATGAAAGAACTTGTTCTTGGGAAGAACCGCCGATTTTGTGATTTATACATGCTGTTGCGGGTTTGGGCGGGTTGCGTACTGCAGATGCCTAGACTGGAGTGTAGGTGGGATATGGTGGGATGACTTATCGACCTTAACTTCTGTCATTCCCCTTGTTAACAGGGTCCTTGACTGCGGGATATGTTCGTTGTATTTGTTAGTTTGCTTCTGAGGTTACCGTGCAGAATGTTTGGCAGTACATAGGTTTGGTCTGGTGCTTTGTTTGAGCAGGGTTTTCTTGCTTTGACCAGATCCCAGCTCTAGTTCCCGTTCCAAGGATGTTTGGCCATCAGCCATTCCAGAGAGGTCCCGCCATCATCCACTCACTTGGGACTAAACACCACTCCTTTGGAAGTGCTGTTCCCAGTTTCTGGTTTCCAGATCCAAGGCTGTTAGCCTACGAGCCGGAAACACCATGTGCTATCGATTTGCTTGTGGGCGCCGTTGAGCACTTGATGGTGACGCTGGGGGTGCCTATTTGGACGCTAGGGGACGAAATGCGGGCGAACGAAGCCATGTTGAGCGATGCAGAACTTCGGCAAAGGACGTGGGAACTGCTTCAGGGGCTACATCTGGAACTGCAGAAGCTACAACGAGAACCAAAAACACCGGACGCCACTGGCTTCTTGAGATCAAGGCTTTTGCGGAATCATTGTCAGTGGGATGACTATCACTGACACTGGACTGGCCGTCGCATGATGGACAACAAATGGCTCATGGGCAAGGGGTGGATTTTGTCGATCATGAGCAGCACACTATATATACATATATTATATATATATACATCTATAAAACACAAAATGCCACAAAGATTCTTTTGATCTAAGCAGTGATTGAAACAACCTATGCATCCCCCACAACAAGGTACCGTAGCTACATTGGATGATTACTTACACCGTCTCCGGTGGTGGGGCCCTGGCTTGGCTTCAACCCGCAAGGGGGTGGCCATCCCCTGGTCCATCGGTCGCCTCGATCGCTCAGCCTCGGAACCAGTGAGTTTGATGGGAGGAACCCGTAAAAAACCTTTGAAAACCACTGGTGCCGCTAAAGGAAAACGGGTGGACGACCAGAGTGCCGTTCTGTCTCTCCATGTGAGTCTTCGGGAGTGTACCTCATTCAATGCACACTTTTAAGTGATAGGACAGGAGGGTGTACGCGCTACACTGCTATGCCGGGTACGGTACGCCGCGGATTCGCAAGCGGTCAGAGATAAGTGATAGGACAGGGACAAAAGTTTTGGAAACTGTGCTCGCCTTGGCTGTTTGGTGGGTTTGTTTCCCCAAAGAACAGGTGGACAACAGGACTGGGAGGGCTTTCGCATTTACCTTTCAGACCCTAGTTGTTGGTGGGAAGATTTGCTGCGCCCCAGAAAGACCCCAAACTTCAGCTATCCCAATGTATGGGTAACTCTTCCTTATCAATCATAGATGGTTTGGGCTAGTGGGTTTGGATGGTCGACTGCACAGCGACACCGTGGTTGGACCAGACACCGTGACCCTTCGCGAGGAGAGCGGTTCCAAATCCGGGAAGGGTGGATGAATGCATCATTGCACATGCGAATTCCCTATACTCGACCCGCCTTTGACTGGGGAGCTGTATGAGTCTGTCCTGACGGACAACCTGGAAGCCGTCAGGTGTCACACGAACATCATCGAACATGCTTTGATTTGGAAAGGCCTGAGACCCCGTCATCCAGTGTTACTGGTACTGCCTGCTCGGAACCTTAAGAATCCTTGGAGGGTTGCTACAAAACGTACCCAGATAAGATTGAAAGCAGAAAAACCACATTGTTACTGGTAAGATAGACCGAATGTATATCACCGCTTCTCCCCATGCAAGAGACGCAGCGCGTACCTGGCTCAAAGCTGGTTGGTCACTATCCAGACGGACTGGTTTGGTTGCTTTCACGACTGTGTACCACACCCATCATGGTTTTGCTTATGATATTTTTATATGGTCCCTGTGGGTAAGTCCCCTTCTGGGATCACTGTTTCTATTTTCTGCATCACTGTTTCCTTCTGGGATCACTGTTTCTGTGAAGGCAGCCAGATTTTTGTTGAGGTAATTTTTTGTTTACATGATCAGAGTGGACCTGGGCATTATGTTGGAATAACTGGAATGACGTTGCATGCTTTCAGAACTGAACATGTTAGAGAAGCTGTCAGATCTCACCAGAATCATCTCGAAATCAGTCTCCTGCTTCGGTCGGACCGATTGACCGGACTCAGCGACATGCACCGTGAGGTTGTTTTGGGTATTGGTGACAACGGCCACACCCAAGGAAATCTCAGGGCAGTCCTGCCGGAAGTGATTCGGTCAAAGGAGATCCTCCAGCAAGTGTTGCTACACTGTCGCCGGCAAAAGAAGGGACACAAGTTGGTCGTTGCCACCTTTGAAGCTATCAGGCAGAATGGCACCATCCAACTGAACCTGTCCGATTACAATATTGGTATTTCGGCCTACGCTAAAATAAAACGATGGCGGCAGGCGTTGCAATTGCTTGAGGATATGTCAGAGGGGAAAGTGCAGCCAGATGTTATTAGCTACAATGCTGCAATAAGTGCCTGTGAGAAGGGCGGCAAGTGGCAGCAAGCACTGATATTGTTTGAAGCCATGCCAGAGGCAGAGCTGCTTCTAGACGTGATCAGCTACAGTACAGCTGTCAGTGCCTGTGAGAAAGGCGGGCAGTGGCAGCAGGCACTGATGTTGTTTCATGCAATGCCACGCGCCATGCTGCAGCCAAATGTAATCAGCTACAGTGCCGCCATCAGTGCCTGTGAGAAGGGCGGCCAGTGGCAGCAGGCGTTGATGTTGTTTGAGGCCATGCCCGAAGCGAAAGTGCAGCCAAATGTCATCACCTACAATGCTGCCATGAGTGCCTGCGAGAAGGGCGGCCAGTGGCAGCAGGCATTGATGTTGTTTAAGGCGATGCCGGGTGCAAAACTGCAGCCAGATGTCGTCAGCTACAATGCAGCCATCAGTTCCTGTGAGAAAGGCGACAGGTGGCAGCAGGCATTGATGCTGTTTAATGCGATGCCCGATGCACAAGTACAGCCAGATGTTATCAGCAACAATGCTGCAATCAGTGCCTTTGAGAAGGGCGGCAAGTGGCAGCAATCATTGTATTTACTTGAAGCCATGTTGGTGGCTGAAATGACGCCAGATGTGGTCAGCTACAGTGCAGCTGTCAGCGCATGTGAGAAGGGTGGGCAGTGGCAGCAGGCATTGAAATTGTTTGAGGCCATGCCGGAGGCCATGGTGGAGCCAAATGTCATTAGCTACAGTGCAGCCATCAGTGCCTGCGAGAAGGGCGGCCATTGGCAGCAGGCATTGAAGTTGCTTGAAGACATGGCTCGGAAGAATGTGCAGCCGAATGTCGTTAGCTACAGTGCAGCCATCAGTGCGTGTGAGAAGGACGGCAGGTGGCGGCAAGCACTGATATTGCTTGAAGCCATGCCAGTGGCGAAAGTGCACCGTACCGTCATTGGCTATAGTGCAGCCATCAGTGCCTGTGAGAAGGCCGGCAGGTGGGAGCAGGCTTTGTTGCTATTTGTGGCGATGCCAGCTGCGAAAGTACTGCCGAATGTCATTACCTACAATGCTGCCATCAGTGCCTGTGACAACGGTGGCAAGTGGCAGCAGGCATTGTTGTTGTTTGTGGCCATGCCAAGGGCGACAGTGCAGCCCACTGTTATCAGCTACAATGCAGTTATCAATGCCTGTGAGAAAGGCAACCAGGGTTTGGAAGTATTGGAGTTGCTTGAAGCCATGCCTTGTTTGACAGTAAAGCAGTTCGCCACGATTTCTTTTGCAGCGCGGTCCCTTTTCACAGCCACGTGTCAGAAGCTGTGTAGTGCAGCTTGAGATTCTACAGTATGGCCAACGTTTAGATAGAAGCAGGTTCACCTGCTGCTTGCCTTCGCCTACCTGTCCACAGCCGCTCATGCGGACGCCACGCTCGTGTTCGTCACCTGGAGTCCCGGCGGAAGAGAACGCCGGAGGCTCGGACGTCGGCTGGCAGCTCTGGACGTCGGCTGGAAGCACATCGAAGCCGGATTCATTTGGATAATGTTTCAGCCTAACCTGTTGATGTAGATAGATGAACATGAATCAGTAGACTATCTCCCTAGAATGCCCTCAGGGTTTTTCAGAAATCCATGCCAAAAGGCGCACCACTCACGGGTTTTTGCGGATCTCATTGGATCAACATTTGCAGGTGTTCTTTTTTGGTTTGCAGGGGATCCCCAGTTTTTTCTGGATGTGGAGCTCAATGGCCTCAGACATCCTCAGACCAGGGTCTCAGACCTTGGGATTTGAAAGATGATTTCTGGAGAAAGTCAGGTGAATGACCAAATCACCCAGCTCTTGAGAATGTCCCTTTGCCCTAGAGGGTGTCCATTTTGTGGCAGGCTTGTCGGCTTGTCGAGCCAAGGAAAGAGGTGAGTGTAGATGAACTATTTTAGGTGGCATGGGATTCTTTTGGGTGATACTGGAATCATGTCCTTCGCCCTTTGGCAGTCCTGTGTGGCAAATCCAAAGCTTCCCATGGTAGATTCTACAGCATCATACAATCCAAATCTTACCACCATCAGAGAAAGACAGATGCATGGGTTTCCTGCTCATTTGGAGGACATCCAGGTGCGCAGAACCTCGCGTGAGAACTGCTCGTTGAACAGTTTATGGCTGCGATTGACGGATTGACACCGATTCTCCAAGTTTCGGGCATCGATGAAGAATTTTCAAAAGGAGGAGGAGATTCTTACACAAACCAACCCTACTAGGTTACTAGATCCAAGATCTCTAGCTCCGTTTCGCAGGCGTTTGCACGGCTTACAGAAAGGTGTTGAACACAACCACCCTCTCAGAAGGTGGCAGTGGATCCAAAAAATTGGGGTGTATGTTTTAGTTCGTATGTTCAACATGCTCATCTTCGTCTGCCGCAGTGCGCACCTCCCTGGTATCACTGGTATCCGCTCGGAGCGCCCCCAGGACGCCCTGGCGGCCGAACTGGCGGTGGCCGGAGGGCCGATCTGCCGTGGGGGATGATGGGCCCCTAAGGACCGACACCAGAGGTGTCGACCATCAATAGCCTCTTTTCAGAGCTTAAGGGACTTAAGGGGTGTCCAAACACCACCGGACGAACGGTTTCGGTCCTGGTAGGTTGAACACTGAAGGTTGGAGAGGAAAGCCATGGTGTCGGCGTCGAACGGAATTTTGGAAGGGGTCGTTTTAAGGGGTCTATATATGTGTTTCGGGCTGGTATGTCAAGCTGCTGTTGTTTTTTGGGGGTTGAAGACCCAAATCCATGTTGCTGCAGCTGTCAAGGATGGATGTCACGAAGGGGTTTTCTGAGAAGAGTGCTTTCTGGTGTGGCACCCACAAAATACCCAGAGTCATCCATGTTTCCCCAGAACACGTCAGCCCCAAATACTTACAAGTCACGCCAATGGGAAAGACCTCCAGGGTCGGGTCAAGGATCTCATTTAACTTGATTTGGTCATACAAAATCATAACACCAAGACCCGGTTTTACGCAAGAACTTGTAGCGTACGCCAGAGGCGAGGCTGAGGACCCGCTGTGACCGGCCTTCTCCGCACCCAGGCGATGGGGGTGCAGCCGGAGGAGCGCGGAGCGTTTTCCGGTGTGGGCTGGTGAGGTTCCCTTTTGGGCTCCAAGT